TTTCACCCCCCACAAGGTATAAACAACTTTCACCCCCCCCCCCACAAGATATAAACAACTTTCACCCCCCCCCCCCACAAGGTATAAACAACTTTCACCCCCCACAAGGTATAAACAACTTTCACCCCCCACAAGGTATAAACAACTTTCACCCCCCCCCACAAGGTATAAACAACTTTCACCCCCCACAAGGTATAAACAACTTTCACCCCCCACAAGGTATAAACAACTTTTACCCCCCCCCCCCCCACAAGGTATAAACAACTTTCACCTCCCACAAGGTATAAACAACTTTCACCCCCCCCCCCCCCCCACAAGGTATAAACAACTTTCACCCCCCACAAGGTATAAACAACTTTCACCCCCCACAAGGTATAAACAACTTTTACCCCCCCCCCCCCCCACAAGGTATAAACAACTTTTACCCCCCCCCCCCCCCACAAGGTATAAACAACTTTCACCCCCCACAAGGTATAAACAACTTTCCCCCCCCACAAGGTATAAACAACTTTTACCCCCCCCCCCCCCACAAGGTATAAACAACTTTCACCCCCCACAAGGTATAAACAACTTTCACCCCCCCCCCCCACAAGGTATAAACAACTTTCACCCCCCACAAGGTATAAACAACTTTCACCCCCCACAAGGTATAAACAACTTTCACCCCCCCCCCCCCACAAGGTATAAACAACTTTCACCCCCCACAAGGTATAAACAACTTTCACCCCCCCCCCCACAAGGTATAAACAACTTTCACCCCCCACAAGGTATAAACAACTTTCACCCCCACAAGGTATAAACAACTTTCACCCCCCCCCCACAAGGTATAAACAACTTTCACCCCCCACAAGGTATAAACAACTTTCACCCCCCACAAGGTACAAACAACTTTCACCCCCCACCCCCCACAAGGTATAAACAACTTTCACCCCCCACAAGGTATAAACAACTTTCACCCCCCACAAGGTATAAACAACTTTCACCCCCCACAAGGTATAAACAACTTTTACCCCCCCCCCCCCCCACAAGGTATAAACAACTTTCACCCCCCACAAGGTATAAACAACTTTCACCTCCCACAAGGTATAAACAACTTTCACCCCCCACAAGGTATAAACAACTTTTACCCCCCCCCCCCCCACAAGGTATAAACAACTTTCACCCCCCACAAGGTATAAACAACTTTCACCCCCCCACAAGGTATAAACAACTTTTACCCCCCCCCCCCCCACAAGGTATAAACAACTTTCACCCCCCACAAGGTATAAACAACTTTCACCCCCCACAAGGTATAAACAACTTTCACCCCCCACAAGGTATAAACAACTTTCACCCCCCACAAGGTATAAACAACTTTTACCCCCCCCCCACAAGGTATAAACAACTTTCACCCCCCCCCCCCCCACAAGGTATAAACAACTTTCACCCCCCCCCCACAAGGTATAAACAACTTTCACCCCCCACAAGGTATAAACAACTTTCACCCCCCCCCCCCACAAGGTATAAACAACTTTCACCCCCCCCCCCCCCCAAGGTATAAACAACTTTCACCCCCATTCATCCCTCCCCTCGCCACTTCACTACAGGTGTGGGGTGTTGTGTGATGTGGTGATGTGAGAGTTGATCAAACTTACAGACCAACACGCTTTAGATGTGGTGCTACAATAACAAGAAAGGTTAAGTATCCTTTCTTGTCATTCTAACACATCTAAACAACAGGAAGATCTGGATATTCTTACCAAAGTACGTCAACTGTGGTGACTTCACACACTTGTACATTGGTGACAACCTTACATACTTGTACATTGGTGACAACCTCACATACGTTGACAATGGTGACAACCTCACATACATGTACATTGGTGACAACCTCACATACATGTACATTGGTGACAACCTCACATACATGTACATTGGTGACAACCTCACAAAATGGACATTGGTGACCTGTGTGTGTGTACCAACATGTGTGAGTGAATGTATTGTGAGAGAGTTGTACACGTCAGAAGGCATTACGAATAAAAAAAATGACGTTTGACTCCGCCCGTTGCTGTCGACGTTTGAAATAAATGCCTGCTGTCATCAATCTGAATTTGTCTTCCAAGAAAATCAATAATTCAAGCAATGTTCCACGTTTGATGACGTGGCCAGTCATGCGTCAATTTCTCCATTTTATCCTAATGTCACTTTAACCTTGAACTTGCGCTGATATCATAAAATCCTATTGTGAATTAGCCAACATTTGAAATACAAAATCTAAACGCAGATTTCTTTTTTAAAACTGTATAATAACACCCTTTTAATTGTATTGAAAATATGGAAATAAAGGCACTTGTTTTCTTTAAGAAAAGAATAGGTTGTTCGTGAAATCTCTTAGGCATGTTTATATTTAAGTCCTCAATTTTTCTTACATTACTACGTCCTCAAATATTTTGATTGTACATAAACACACGTTCTAAAAGTTTCTATTTTTACATTAATAACTCGACTTTGACTAGACGTATTTCTTTGAATCGCATCAGAGGCAAAGGACTGCAGACACACACCTCCACTGGACAGCTCTCTTTATTTGAGCTCACGTAAGCTCGGCAGCCATTTACCTCTGTCCTTAAGCTCGGCAGCCATTTACCTCTGTCCTTAAGCTCGGCAGCCATTTACCTCTGTCCTTGTCTTGGATTGCTTCAACTGCTGCTATGTTGTCGTCTTTCCCTCTCGTATCAGAGGCGTCGCGAGGCGGGGACGGGGGTGCGGACCGCACCGGTGACACCATTTAGGAGGGTGACACCATGGCGAAAGTTGTAAAATATATAGAAGAAAAACGCCTATTGCCAGTTCAATTTATGATTCATCGGAGTTAATCCACCTATATTAATAACTGACTATAGATAAACCTCTTAATTATTAACTGTGCACACTTTAAAACAATCACCCGAGGGGGGAGGAGAGAGTAACACCAACTACAAACCTTACAGAGGAAAAATAGTTTTGGTGAGTATTTTGAATAACTGATAAGTAAATCAACGACTGGAGAGGGGGTGACACCGAAATGTAATAAAAGAAATGTAATAATTAACGATGAAAACGTAATTTTTTCCACATGAATTAATAGGTGAATTAATATAATGTGCGCACTAATTGAAGCTATTAGGCCAAATAGAGGGGTGACTCCAATTGCAACAATATATAACCATATATATATATATATATATATATATATATATATATATATATATATATATATATATATATATATATATATATATATATATTGTAACGTGTTCACTGCCACCAAATGTAATGTTCTTCTTCTCTTTTGTTTGCTGCTCTCACTCTCAGTCACAGACGATCACGAACGATGAAGAATAAGTTGTCTTCTGCAAATCGTTATGTGACTATGAGAACAGTCGTCTTCTGCAAATCGTTATGTGACTATGAGAACAGTCGTCTTCTGCAAATCGTTATGTGACTATGCAAACAGTCGTCTTCTGCAAATCTTTATGTGACTATGAGAACAGTCGTCTTCTGCAAATCTTTATGTGACTATGCGAACAGTCGTCTTCTGCAAATCTTTATGTGACTATGCGAACAGTCGTCTTCTGCAAATCGTTATGTGACTATGCGAACAGTCTTCTGCAAATCTTTATTTGACTATTAGAACAGTCGTCTTCTGCAAATCTTTATGTGACTATGCGAACAGTCGTCTTCTGCAAATCGTTATGTGACTATGAGAACAGTCGTCTTCTGCAAATCGTTATGTGACTATGAGAACAGTCGTCTTCTGCAAATCGTTATGTGACTATGAGAACAGTCGTCTTCTGCAAATCGTTATGTGACTATGAGAACAGTCGTCTTCTGCAAATCGTTATGTGACTATGCGAACAGTCTTCTGCAAATCTTTATTTGACTATGAGAACAGTCGTCTTCTGCAAATCTTTATGTGACTATGCGAACAGTCGTCTTCTGCAAATCTTTATGTGACTATGCGAACAGTCGTCTTCTGCAAATCGTTATGTGACTATGCGAACAGTCTTCTGCAAATCTTTATTTGACTATGAGAACAGTCGTCTTCTGCAAATCTTTATGTGACTATGCGAACAGTCGTCTTCTGCAAATCGTTATTTGACTATGCGAACAGTCGTCTTCTGCAAATCGTTATGTGACTATGCGAACAGTCGTCTTCTGCAAATCTTTATGTGACTATGAGAACAGTCGTCTTCTGCAAATCGTTATGTGACTATGAGAACAGTCGTCTTCTGCAAATCGTTATGTGACTATGCGAACAGTCTTCTGCAAATCTTTATTTGACTATGAGAACAGTCGTCTTCTGCAAATCTTTATGTGACTATGCGAACAGTCGTCTTCTGCAAATCTTTATGTGACTATGCGAACAGTCGTCTTCTGCAAATCGTTATGTGACTATGCGAACAGTCTTCTGCAAATCTTTATTTGACTATGAGAACAGTCGTCTTCTGCAAATCTTTATGTGACTATGCGAACAGTCGTCTTCTGCAAATCGTTATTTGACTATGAGAACAGTCGTCTTCTGCAAATCTTTATGTGACTATGCGAACAGTCGTCTTCTGCAAATCTTTATGTGACTATGAGAACAATCGTCTTCTGCAAATCTTTATGTGACTATGCGAACAGTCGTCTTCTGCAAATCTTTATTTGACTATGCGAACAGTCGTCTTCTGCAAATCTTTATTTGACTATGCGAACAGTCGTCTTCTGCAAATCTTTATTTGACTATGCGAACAGTCGTCTTCTGCAAATCTTTATTTGACTATGCGAACAGTCATCTTCTGCAAATCTTTATTTGACTATGAGAACAGTCGTCTTCTGCAAATCGTTATGTGACTATGCGAACAGTCTTCTGCAAATCTTTATTTGACTATGCGAACAGTCGTCTTCTGCAAATCTTTATGTGACTATGCGAACAGTCGTCTTCTGCAAATCGTTATTTGACTATGAGAACAGTCGTCTTCTGCAAATCGTTATGT